ATGACAAAACTATAATAATTTATGATCTATGAAGGGTTCATGAGGGAGGGGGGAGGGGGGAAATGAGCAACTGATATTAGGGGCTAGAGTGGGAGGCAAATGTTTTGAGAATGATGAGGGCAACAAATGTGCAAATGAGCTTGACACAATGGATGTATATTTGGATTGTGTTGAGAATTGTACGAGCCCCCAATAAAATAATAAAAAAACATAGGACAAACATAAAAAAATAAAGTCAGCAATGATATCGCTCATTCTACATCTTCTGAAAAAAAAAAAAAAAAAGAGTGACAGCCTTGGAAACCACAGGGGGAGCCCTATCTTGTCTGATAGGGTCACTATGATTTGGAACCACTCCATGATGGTATGAATTGTTTTGAGCATATAAAGAAAAAGAACGTAAAAAATTAGTTTTGGTCACTGTGATTTTAATTGAAGCATCAAGTATTTCGCTTTTATGATAGAGCATCTTGAGTGGAATGATATTCCAGAAGATCACACATATACTAGTTATATATACATGGCCTGGGTAATATGGGTATGTATGTATGTATGGATATATATATATATATCTCCACTTTCTGGGGTCTTTGGGATAATCTTACCCAAAAGACTGCAGAAAGTGATCAAATTCAAGAGTAAGTAGGACAACAAGATCTCCAAAGGAAAAACTACATTAGTGGATATGTATTCATGGAGGTTATTCCATGCAGACTTTCCAAATTCATGATATAAGATGGCAGACAAAAAATCATAGTGGTGGCGATGCCTGGAGGGTGAAGGGAATGTGGGGTAGAACAGGGGAACCGATTACAAGAATCTAAGTATTGCCTCCTCCCTGGGGGATGGACAGCAGAGAAGAGGGTGGAGGGAGATGTCAGACAGTATAACTTATGACAAAACGATAATAATTTGTGAATTGTGGAGGGTTCATGAGGGAGGAGAGAGTGGGGAGGGAGGGGGAAAATGAGCAACTGATACTAAGGGCTAAAGTAGAAGGCAAATGTTTTGACAATGATGAGGGCAACAAATGTACATATATGTTTGACACAATGGATATATGTATGGATTGTGATGAGAATTGTACGAGCCCCCAATAAAATAATTTTAAAAACAAACTAACAAAGAAAAATCAATCTCGATGGATAAAAATGTCTTTGGTCACATGTTACCTGCTATTTCCTTGAGTATCTTAAATGCTCGTTCATTTCCTTGAATCATAAAACATTGCTAGCCAACACTTGGTAATTGTCATTTTATTTCTCTTATATTCTAAAGGAATCTTTTAAAGGAAATAATAGAATATTGTGGCATTAGTTGTTCCGGGTTAATGGTCTTAAGATAGGCAAAGTGTTTTTTCAGTATACGGCTTTACATTTTTTTCCTTTTTGTGCTAGAAAAGTTTAATTAGTAGATTTTCAGTAGTTTGCTCTGTTCCCTTTGGTTTTCTTCAGCTGGGACTTTCATGATCAGTTTTTTATCCCCTTTGCCTAGCTTCAATGTTACTTTGTATCTATCATTTAATGTTTTCAAATCAACTATTTTCTATTTCTTAAAGCATTATCTGTTATATATGATGATATTCATTCATGTGCCTTCCTTCATGCTTTTAGTCTTCATTTCTGAAATGGTCTTCCTTTCTAAATCTTTAATTTGCTCACCTCATCTGAGTTTTTCTAATTCTGATTCACGCTATGACTTAATGTTATTTTATTAATGTATTATAACTCATTTTGAAATAGTTTCATCTGTTCAGTGGAACATTTCTGGTATGCTTTCACTACCAATATAGGAATACTTTTTTTTTTTAAGGAAAAAAATGTCAACTTTTTATTGTGAATTGGGTAAAGGTTTACAGACCAGATCAGTCTTCCATGCAGCAATTCATACACATTCATAATCATCACACTGATTGCAATCCCCACTATGTAACATCACCAGCTCCATTCCCCTCCCTGTGTTTCCTATCTACGTTCCTCCTTTTCTAGCCCTTCTAAACTTTATCTTTTAGTCAATGTTACATGGTTGATCTCTAATGGTTGATTATTTTAAGGCATTATTGTTCCATTTATAAGCCTATCTATTGTTGGGTTGAAAATGTAACCACAGAGGTGAGTTCCTTTCCAGACCCGAAGTGTGACTAAAAGGGCCATTGTCTCCAACCAAGAGAGTAAACTGACTTTTTCTTAATGACTCTGAAATTTTGTTCCAAAGTTTTCTCCCATTCTACCAAGGATCTTCTAAATGTGATTCCTTTAGGAGCAGTTAGTAGTGGTAACCAGGCACCATCTAGTTCTTCTGGTTTTAGTGGATCACTTAAGATCCTGGAGTTTTTGTTCTTTGTCACATGTTTGTATAGAATTTTACTTCAATGCTTCATTGTAATGTTAAAATAAATTTAATCATCAATTATGGAATATGACAGGACACAAAGGAAACTTTTCTAAGTTCATAGGAGTCTCTTGCCTATCACTGTTGTCTAGTGTTAAACCCCTGGTAGTGTAGTGGTTGTGTGTTTGGCTGCTAACCACAAGTTCTGCAGTTCGAAACCACCAGCTCCTCCACGGGAGAAAGATGAGGCTTTTTACTCCCATAAAGAGTTATAGTCTCAGAAACCCATAGAGGCAGTTCGATTAAGTCCTAAAGCAGCAGTTCTCAACCTGGGGGTCGAACGACCCTTTCATAGGGGTCGCCTAAGATCATCGGAAAACACAAGACACCGTTTCTCTTATCGTCTCCAAGTGGGTCCGCCCCCATGCAGATAAGCCAAAATACGAGTATCTGGCGTGAAGACTATTACCCATGCTACATGACAAATTTTCATTTATGTCATTAGAAATAAATATGATAGAATTACCTATAACTTTGTGATGAATCAGTATGCTTTAATTATGTTCAATTTGTAACAATGAAAATGCATCCTATCAGATATTTACATTATGATTCATAACAGCAGCAAAATTGCAGTTATGAAGCAGCAACGAAAATAATTCAATGGTTGGGGGTCACCACAACATGAGGTGTGGTTATTAAAGGGTCGCGGCATTAGGAAAGTTGAGAACCAATGTCCTAAAGAATTGCTGTGAGTCAGAATTGATTCAATGGCAGTTGAGGTTTTTGAGTTTTAGTGTTAAAACAGCTTGCTTTCTAGGATTCCTTGGCTCAGTTTTCTGAGACCCTAGTCAGGATCTATATTTTTCCCTGTCCATATAAATTCTGATTCCACATCCAGCATTTCCCCCCCAGTGTGTAAGGAATCCTATGCTAAAAGGGACCCTTGGTGATGAGTTTTGTGAATTCTTAGATTCACTTTTTTTTTTCCTGAAATAAGTTTTTTTTTTCTTTTTTAACATTTTATTAGGGGATCATACAACTGTTATCCCAATCCATACACACATCAATTGTGTAAAGCGCATTTGTACATCGTTTCTCAAAACATTTTCTCTCCATTTAAACCCCCGACATTAGGTCCTCATTTTTCCCCTCCCTCCCCGCTCCCCCCTCCCGCATGAACCCTTGATAGTTTATAAATGGGTATTTTGTCATATCTTGCCCTGTCCGACGTCTCCCTTCATCCACTTTTTGGTTGTCTTAGATTCACTTTTTCACCATGTGCTCCTTTAGACTCATCTAGTATAGGATGTTTTGGCTCAGTTTTAGCTGCTGCTCCCAAATCAGCTGTCTCATTTTCTAGTGAATTCCTACGAGCTATTTTGGGGACTTTCCGCTCTCTGTTCATCAGAAAACATCCTCAAGACTTCCTTCTTTCTTGTTCCTATATAGAAACAGGTAGCATGCAAACAAACTGGCAATTTGTCTCTACCTGCTTAAAATTTAGAGTTCATGGGTATGCTTTGCTATCTAATTATATTGTAAATTCTGCCCAGGTGTTACAGAGTGTGCTATTTTTTTCAGGGACGCAAGCGAAAAAGCTACACTGGTATGACCTTCACAGACATCTGCTGAAAATTTTAAGTTATATTAATTTGTTAAAATCCTACACTTTATGAATTTATACTATTAATACTCCCAAATTTATACAGACTCAGTAAAATGCCTAAAATTATAGTTGTTCCACAGGAAAAAGTTGAGGTCATCTACTCTTGCTAAGACTTAGCCTGAAAACCCCAATAGACAGTTCCATTCTGCTTTATAGGCTCACTGTGAGTCATAATCAATACTCAGTTTTGAGTGAAGTTGTAAAACTACAATTCTAACCATAAATTCTACAACTTATATTCTTTATAGACACTCATGGAAATGATAATACTAATGGGAAATTTATTCATGACAGAGAACTGCATTTTTAAGCCAATTATTTTTCAGGGATCTATTCTATAAAGTACCAAACAATGTTTTTAATTCCGATTTAATTCAAAGTTTGAGAAACTCACACAAGTCTGTATTTAGTGGTGTAGCAAAATGATAGCCATAAATTCATTCAGCAGATTCAAAGGTGAAAAGAACTGAAACTCTCTCAAATTTAATGGCTTTTTCAATTGTAGAACATACTTTAATAAACAGATTAAAGAAAAATGACCAAAAATGACTTTGGGAATTAAAAAAAATCAACCATTCACTAGATTAATCTTCTGTGCATGCTCAAAGATAGCAAATGAGGATTCCAAAGTACACCAAGTAACCTACCTGGCCTGCCTTGGGTATGTGGAGACACAAATAAAGGCTGGGAGGAAGCTGAAGTGGTAACACTAGCTGGGTTAGCTGGTGCAGCACAGTTGTTTACGACTGGAGCTGGACCATTACTGGCACTGGAAGCTGCAACTGCTACAGAATTGATGATCACCTGTAAGTGTGAAGAAAGTTTAAAACTCTTAAAAGTTTGGTTTTTCAAACAATATAAATGTTTCTTCTCCAGGACAGAGCACTTTGTTTTTCTGACTAAAATACTGAGAAAGTCAGCCTTTTGTGTAAAGCCTATATAGAAAGGATGTTTGATCATTTTGAGAGCTTGACTTTCATAAATTCATTCATTTCTTAATAGGTAGCATATTAATGTGCTTCATAATTTGACTTTAAAATTATATACAGAGCAAAGTCTCTCTCCACAACCCATCCTCCATCTGACAAGATCCCACATTCCACAAACAAGCATCCTCTGTACTTCCTGCAGATTTTTCCAGACAGTTGTTATATATTCACTTTTATATGTCTATAGGTGTCCCCATACACACTTATAAAAAATAGAAAAGGTTGTTTAGGTATTTATTTTGAATTTGATGAGGCTACAATTTGTTATTCTCACTTGGCTACAACTTCAGTAGAGGGCTGTACAGAGAGAGATGTCCAATAGTAAGATTCTTTTTCTTAAAAAACATTGATATCCCTGGCAGTCTCCATTTCCTTAACATCCACTACAATGTAGCTGTGATCTCCTCTGGTCCTCTCAAACTACATGTGAAAACAAGTCATAGAGGACTATTACTCCTAATGTTTCTTTGCCTCTTGGCAACAACTGGCACTTGACTTCCTCCTGAATCAATTTTTTTCTGAGGGAATTCTCAAAATATTCTACACAGCTGACTTTTCTCTCTCCTTGGCTGTGCCTTTGCCACACTGTTTTCTAAAGTTTGGTGATCCACATGTAGTAATCTAGATGATCATCAATCTCTTCTTATGATTTTCTTACTCATATGACTTGAGGTGACTTTTATATACCAACTCTCCACTCTATGAGACCTTTAAATTCTACTTTCAACCAATGATAAAAAATTGACCAAAAACGTGGAAATATCTGATACACAAGTGCCCAATCAATTTGATGAGTGAATTTATCAATCACTGTGTCAGGCACCATAAAAAAGAAACATAAACAACTGCTCTGAAGTATGATGATGGGCAAAGAGAAGCACATGAAAATTCATTTTCCCACGCTCAAAGATTTTCAACACACATGCTATTACTATGAAGATTACCTTCTGAGGGTAGTTGTATGAGGTAGCTGTATCTTGAGGTGACATAGAACATGGTCTTCCATCCTGAAGAGACTTTAATGAATGTAGACATATAATTAAATCAGGAGAAATCAAACAACCAGACAATACATCAATAAAAGATGTGTTTTGTTTCAAAATTTTCTAAAAGTAAATGAAAGTAGTTTGTCCTGAAAGCATTAAAATGTGGAAGTGACTACTAACAGTAAGGTGTCTCTCTGGCACCTGATGCAGTGACTACCACAGGAAAGTCTACAAAAGCTGGAAACTGTATAGTCAAAATCTTTTAGAGAAGGAAAATGGCAGACTTAAATGCTTCCCATTAACCAAGAGATATAAAAGTGATGTAGCTGCACTGTCAAAGGAATAAAATTGGCAAGATCCAGTAAAACAAGAGTCTCATAAAGCTTCAGAGAGCACTAAAGGTTTCCTGAGCATATCCAATTCGGGTCCTAACATAGATACTACAATGTAACTGAGGGTTATGCTTTAAATGCCTTCTCAGTGGCTTTCAACATCTAGAAACCTTCAGGATCAGTAGGACCAGTATAGTTTTGCTAAAAGAATGCATTCAATTCAAAAAGATAACTTGGGACATGGGTGGTTAAATGGTTGTTCAGCTGCCTGTTATCCATGATAAACCCTGACTGGACAAACAGGATATAGAAAATATGGTGGAAACCAAATATCATTCCTCTCTGGTTCATGATTTTGTCTCTGTGAAACTAAAATTTATTTTGAAAGGCTTAGACTTATGCAGGACAGATTCTCATTGCAGCAAAAATTCTTAGCAGCAGAAACTGGCAATGTTGCTAAGAACACAGAAGGAATGAGAGAGTAAGTATGGGAAACAGAAAGAGCCTCACTGAATATAGACTTGAGATTACACACTTCAAGTTTATATTCAAATATAACCAAAGTACTTATGTAAAAGGAAACATTTCCCTGGCTCAGAATGTCCAAGTGTGAATGCTAAATGAGAGAAATGAGAAAGCCAATGAATATAGCAAATCTAAGTACTATTATCTATAAAATTTTCTTGTTAATAGCTATTGGCACATAGAGCTAATAGGAATCAAACAGAGAAGCAGCATAATTAACCAGTCATACATCTAAAGAAAGCATGAGTCAGTCTCCAGCTGAGATAAAACGACCCTTGAACCCCCAGTCTCTTATGAGTAAGAAGCAGGCTATAAAAGTGTGACAGATTTTATGTCAACTTGAAGCTATGTGAAGTGTAGGGTTGGAGTCCAACCTGCCAATCAGGTCACACAGCCTAATGATGCCTCCTTGGGGGGGGGGGGGCCCTTTTCTATTGAAACACAGTAATGAACTTCTCCTTCCTCTCACTTCACCTTCATCCTTGCTGGACTCTATATGCCCTGGGGGGCAGCCCCCTGTGGGATCTGACCATGAGAGCAAACCTCCGAGCTGTGGGAACCCTGCTGTGTTCCCACAGATCATGGATCCACATGACTATTCACCCACTGGCCAGTGATCTTCCTGCATCCCACTTCACCTTTCTGCATCGTCAACCTGTAGCTATGCGGGCCTAAAGAGGATTCTAGCTAACATCGGAAGCATGGGCTTGAGTTTGGGAGGAAAGCTCTTTCTGATACATATATTAGTGTCACTGGTTTTATTTCTCTAGTCACCTCAGCTTAACACAGGAAGTTACTCCAAATAATGGACAAGGAAGGCCTTGGAGTAATCAAGAGTCCCAGGAAATGAACTAAGAAGCCTTCCAAAGAAATGGATTCAAGTGTAATCCAGGAACAGGTCCTATTGCCTAGGTTGGTGGCCATCACAATGTCTGCCTCATCATCCCAGAATTTGATAGAGGCCAGTAACTGCGATCCTACTATTTTCCTGCTTTCTGAGTAAACATTTTCTTTTAACTGCATTTAAAAAACCCCAGTATAGAAGAAAAACCACTTATATGGGTTGAGGTACAGGCAATTGGGCAGGGATCTAGCCAAATCCAAGAATGTACATGTCATTCCAACAAAAAGAAGGGAAAAGGGGTGAGGAAGAGGGAGATGACGGCACTGGGAGGAGCAGGGCACTAGTCCACCCAGGGGGAGGGTATTGTTTAGGTCTCCACAGAAATGGGAGTATGAGTACAGACCCACCACAGTGCGCCAAACCCTGAGGGCAACATAACCACACGGAGCAACTCATGAACAGAGAGAGCTACAGAGCCGGCCCCAATCAGCCAAACTGACCCCCTCCCTAGAAGTATGTGCTACAGAGAAAAACACTAAACCTACTGGTTGGGAAGAAGTCTGCCACACTCACACAGAAACAAACCAAGAAGGAAGAAGAAAGAGTGAGGGACTAGACCCCATACAAGTACACCAAGCCCTGAGGACTATGTCCCTGCACGGTGCTGCTAAGGCACATAGAGGACTGTAGGGCTGACAACAGCTCATGACATGATGTCCCCTCGCTGGAGCCTACCGAAACAGAGGACAATACTGAGGACACATGACGAGGAGTGAGTCCAGTCTGACACCGCCCCCCCCCCACACACACACACAGTGGGGCAAAACAAGACAGGAACATAACCGACCAGCAACGGGAGCAAAACAAAACCACAAAGCTCCTGAGAAATCCCCAAAATAGACTTCAGGCTAGAAGGGGCAGTTGCCAGAATCCCCTAGGACCAGTGGGGAGAAAGACATGGGAAGCAAGCCAGAGGAGAAAGCAACAGGACCAATGGTTCTGGAGGGACTTGTGGGGAGGAGGAGGCGGGGTAAGAGAGTGGCGAGCAAATGCAAGATAGGGGAAACAACTAGGGAATTAAAATCAATGACGAGGAGGATAGAGAGATCCTGGGGGTAGGGGCAGGGGATTGGAGCAACAGCATTCTATCTGAGAGGAATTACTAAGATTCAGAAGAAGGGCGAGTGTGATGGTGGGGCAAGAGGAAGGGAAAAGGAAACAGAGGAAAGATCTAGGAAGCAAAGTTATGGATAGAGGTGTGTACGTATGTAAATAAATTAATTCATAAAAAGAGAGGTATTGGCCTATGAACATATATGGCAATACACTGAGGAAGTAGATGGACTTTGGGCCTTTGATGAAGCCCTCCCTCAACGCAAGAACACTTTGTTCTAACAACCTGGCATTCTGTGATGTTCACTCTCCTAACACAATCACTGAAGACAAAATGGCTGCATAAGCAAATGTGGTGAAGAAAGCTGATGGTCCTCGGCTATCAAAAGATATTGCATCTGGAGTCTTAAAGGCTTGAAGTCATCAAGCAGAGAAGCAACAAGTCCTCATGGAAGTAGCACTCTACAGCCTATGCCATCATGAGGTATTGATGGGATCAGGAAATAGGCATCAGAATACCCAAAACAAAACACAAAAAGCCATATTGTTGATAACGAGGGAGGTTGGAGCAGAGACCCAAAGCCCATCTGTAGACATTGGGACATCCCCTCATAGAGGGTCATAAGGAAGAGACGAGTCAACCAGGGCCCAGCATAGCACCATTGAAACACACAATATTCCTCAGGTTCCTTGAGGCTTCCTCAGCCCCCACTACCATGACCCCAGTCCTATCTAGACCAGACAGAGCATGTACACTGGGGTACAGATAATAGCTCAGGACACACGGAATCCAGGTCAGATAAACCCCTCAGGAACAGAAATGGGAATAGTGATACCAAAAGGATATGGGGAAAGTTGGGGGAATAAGGGAGAAAGAACCGATCACAATGATCTACACATGACCCCTTTCCCACACAGGGGGATGAACAACCGAAACATGGGTAAAGGCAGACAGCAGTTGGTATATGAAAATAATAATAATCTATAATTTATCAAGGGGTCACAAGTGTGTGTGGAGTGGGTGGTGGGAGGGGGAAAAAAGAGGATTTGATACCAAGGGCTCAAATAAAAAATAGATGTTTAGAAAATGATGGAGTAACCGAGAGGAATTACTGAAACCCAAATGAAGACTGAACATGACAGTGAGACAAAAGGAAAGTAAAAGGAAACAGAGGAAAGAACCAGGAGGCAAAGGGCATTTATAGAGGTCTAAATACATGTGTGTATATACGTAAATATATTTTTATATGAGGAGGGGGAGGGGAGGGGGGAGGGGAGAAAGGAGGAATCGATCATAATGATTTACATATAACCCCCTCCCTGGGGAATGGACAACAGAAAAGTGGGTGAAGGGAGATATCAGTCAGTGTAAGACATGAAAAAATAATAAAAATTTATGAATTATCAAGGGTTAGTGAGGGAGGGAGGAGAAAAGTGAGCAGCTGATACCAAGAGCTCAAGTAGAACGCAAATGTTTTGAGAATGATGGCAACAAATGTACAGATGTGCTTGACACAATGGATGCATGTATGTACTATGATAGTTTTATGAGCCCCCAATAAAATAATTTTTTTAAAAAGAATTGTTCTTAAATTAGGGGTACAATAAAATGATAACTCAAACTTCTTTTATAAAAAACAAACAAACCAGGAAATGATGAAGGCAACATGTGTAAATACGCTTGCTACAACTGATTGCTATAAAAGCTGTAAGAGCCTTCAATAAATTGATCTTAACAATCCCTGCTCCACTACTATTAATGGGGGAAGTAGGGATATTTTCTAAGAATTTAGATGAAAGGAAGCCAATTGGTCTGGACATTGTTTGGTTATACTGAAGAGGGCTTTTGGACTATTAAACACTTTCCAACTTAGACTCTTAGGAAGGATCTGCTCTAGCCAATGAAATTTAAGTGACATTCTTCATAATTCTGTATAGAAGCTTTAAAGACAATGCACCATTCACCACTTTCATTTCCTGCTTTGGCAATCATGGATGAAGCTCTCTTCAGCCTAAATCCCTGAGAAGAGCCCTCCAACATATCTCCATTGGACATGTAGTATATGCATGCAGTAAGCTTTTGTTATATTAAGTGGCTCAGATTACTGCCTGACATGAAAGTCTTAACAAAAATCCTCTAAAAGGTCATCATTGACAATGTCAGAATCTTTTCTTGTACCTATACATATCAGGAGTATCTCTAGATTAAGTTTCAGAACAAGATGATCTTGGCAAAATCATTTTTTTTCCTTTTATAAAACATTTATTCTAAAAAAATCACACTGTACAAATTTCAATAGAACATCTCACTGTGCAGATTTATAAAACGCGGGCCTAACAGAACCCATGGCTGAGAACGCTTGTTCCTATTTTTTCTTAAATTAGGGAGGAAAAGCAATTCCAGGTACAGTGGCAGGCCACATGCCCGACACCCAGAGAAGCCGCTCCGAGGGCCACCTGCCAGCTCTGGGGAGACCCAAGGCTGGAGGGCACCCCACCGGCCGGCAAAATCATTTTTGTGACTCATTTCTTTCTTTATAAAAATGCTGGTCTACATATAACCCTCTCCCTGGGGAAGGACAATAGAAAAGTGGGTGAAGGGTGACATCGGACAGTGTAAGACATGGAAAAATAATGTTATAAATTATCAAGGGTTCCTGAGGGAGGGAGGGACGGTGGGTGAGGGAGGGGAAATGAGGAGTTGATACCAAGGACTCAAGTAGAAAGAAAATGTTTTGAGAATGATGGCAACAAATGTACAAATGTGCTTGACACAATGGATGGATGGATGGATGGATTGTGATAAGAGGTTTACGAGGCCCTAATAAAATGATTTATTAACAAAAAATGCTGATACTAACTTCCTGAATAGTGTTGTGATTTCATTTCAATATTTAGATATACACTTCCTAGAACAGTGTCATAGTACATGATCGGAATTGTACTTGCTATTAGTATCATATACCTACCAAGTTTGCTGTAGATTCAGTTGTACTATAAACACTTGATGTTTCATAGTCTGGTGCTAGACAATATAATGAAAATAAAGTAACACAATTATCTTATAGTTTGAAATTCCATAAACAATGATGAATGTCAGATTCTATTTAGATCTCACTGACCTGAAGGATAAGTATATTCTTCACCGTATCCAACTAAGAGAAAAAGACAAAAGATAACTTCGTTTACATAAGTTTTTCCAGCTCAGTAGATAGAAATGGCTAGCACCTGCTTTATCTCAGGTTTAATGGCTCCGTATTCCAACTAAAATGCATACATCCTTGAAACTAGCGCTGGACGTATAAATGTCCATGTATGAATCCTGATTATGTGACTTTAGGCAGGTTACTTAATCTTTCCACAATGTAGTTACTGTGAAATGGGGATAATGGTTCCTGGGTCGCAGGGATTTTGAAGAGGATTAAACAAGTTAATCTATGTGAAAAGCACTTAGAACAGAACCTGACAACTTAGTAAATACTCAGCTGCTAGCCATCAGATAGTCTCAGCATAACATCCAGTTGTATAGGTGGACATTGAAAGTGCGGGTCATGCCTCATTGTGTTTATCAGCCCATTTCAGGTTAAGTAGAGCATTTAAAATGTTTGTCCTCAGAGGATGGTTCAGTAGACTGCAACACGTTGCTTAATGACTAAAATGCAGATAAAGCCAATCCTCAATTGGATAATTTTCCATGAAATAAAACCCCACAGGTCAAAATTTAATTTAATTCAGAAGCACACAGCCTATCAATCGCACATGGATTCAACCTCTCCAGACAATAGAGTTTAAAGTGATTTAAAAGCTCACCACAGAGTTAAAGGGCAAAGACAAGAGTCACGCTAAATAAAAGAACAGAGAATAAGTTCCTAAGTACATGTATGTACATGCATATATAAAGTCTTCACAGATCATTCTTATGCTAGAATCTTTTATCCTCATTAAGCTCAAATAAATAACTAGGAGCAACTGGTGGTCTTGAACTGCTCACCTCGCCATTAGCAGCTCAATGATCATAAAAGTCAAAATCTCTTGCCTCCTCTTAAGGGACTCAATTCTTCCACAATTGTTTCACCATTTCAGTTTGCATGTATCATTTTATTGCACAGTGGAGAAACAAATACACATATCCTATGGTGGAAGTCAATGCAACTGTCAAGGGCATATATGTGTTTCAGAGTCAGACAAAGTAGGTTCAAAGTTGATCTCTGCCAGTCATAAAGGAACAGATATTTTATCACTCTCCTTTTAGGAAAGGGACAAAATAGGAAAATCAACAGAGACAGAAAGTATACTGCTAGCTGCCTATGACTCAGGCGAGGAGCGAGGACATTAGCTGTGAGGAAACGGGGAATGATTGCTAATTGATATGGGTTTGTTTTCGGGTTTTTTTGGGTGGCATGATGAGACTATTCTAAAGTTGACTGTGGCAATAATTGCAGAACACTGCAAATACACTGACAATCACTGATTTGTACGCTTTAAATGGGTGAACTGTATTATATCACAATGAAACTATTATTAATATTTCAAGCCTCTGCCATTAACCAAGGGTAAGCCCTTGGACAATGAAGCTCCATTTCTTCATAGGTAGGGGCATCAAAAAGTTTGGAGAAAAATGGAATTCAAAGGTATTTAGTTAAAAGGAATTTCTCCGTAAACTTTTTGAAGGCCCCTTGTATATAAAAGGCATACCACCCCCAAGTATATAAAAGGCACAGCACAATCCTTAGAGGCACACTGAAAATTAATCTAAACTATAAACATATATACTCAGTTTAGGAGCCGACACATAAAATTCAATAACCAGAAACATGTATTTATAGATCAAGTAGATTTCTTTGGGCAATGAACTTATTTTTATAGCAGTACTGTAAAGTAATAGCCAGTCTTATAAAAAAACTGACATACACATGGTGAAGACAACTGGTTGTACAGTGGTTAAGCACTTGACTGCTAACTAAAAGGTCAGTCGTTCAATCCTACCATCTGCTCTGTGGACTAAAGATGTAGCAATATGTTTTCAAAAAGATGACAACCTTGGAAAACTACCAGTTTTACTCTGGAGCTCTGATGGTCTTTCAGGTAAGCGTAGGCTACTATATTAATGGGAACAGATCTCCAAATCTTTTCTCCAATGGAGCATCTGGTAGATTTGAACCACTGTCCTTTCAATTAACAGCCTTGCACTTCTCCAGTGTACCACCAGAGCTCCTTAAAGACCTACATATTCTAACTCACAGCAACTTTATAGGACAAGCTTCATAACAACCGTATAGGACTAGGGAGATCTGGCCCTGTGGATTTCCGAGACTGCTAACTCTTTAAAGGAGTAGTGGCCTACACCAAAATACAAGTCTGACCTGAAATTTCAAGACATCTTCAAAAATATAGCAAGCACTAAGAGAAGAACTTGTTCAAAACAAGCTACCTGAACAGAGTGAGAACCCCAAATCAAGCCTTTGGTCTATTTCACAATCCTGATATACACAATCCTAGTGCCACAAGAATCACCTTTAATAAAAGGTATTTTTAATTGACTCACCATTGTCACTCTGGCCATCACCTTCCTCTGCATTCAAGGTTTGTTTGTCTGTCCTAGGTCCCCGCCTTGCCATACAGTATCCTGAAGTAGCAGGAACCATTGTAGAGGGGCCTCCATGATTCTGTATCCAAGAGACAAGTATAGGCATGAGTATACTCACTCAAACCTCACTGACTGCCATCGAGTTAATTCTGATTCATAGTGACCCTCACCTGCAGATCTTGTGGATTTCTGAGGGTGTAAATCTTTACAGGAGCTGAAAGCCTCATTTTTTTCCTGAGGAGTGACTGGTAGGTTTACACTACTGACCTTGAGGTTAGCAGATAAACAGGTGACTGCCTACACCACTAGGGTTCCTTTACATGAGCATGGTCAGAAAAAAAGCTAGAGAGGTATTTTGAAAGCTAGTTAGTTAAACCAGTGACAAAAATATATACTACTGTTTAAAGAGAATTGTGGAAGTGTACATAGTATGTATGGCATAGTTTAAATAGTATATGTGTTTTAATTATAAATAGACATATTATCAAGAAAACCAAAAATATTCATACACACTATGTAAGAGCCTGAGTGGTAAAAACGGTTTGTACTTGACCACAAACTGAAAGGTTGGTGGTTCAAAACCACTCAGTGATAACACAGGAGTGGGCAGGTGATCTGCTTCTGTAAAGACTGCAGCTGAGAAAACGCTTCGAAGCAGTTCTACTCTGTAACACATGGAGTCGACATGAGTTGGACTCAACTCAACAGCAAAGGGTATATCTACCTTCATTCCATTCACTTAAAAACAACTACAACTTATTTTCTCCTATCAGTGAAAGGTGAAAGTGAAAACTCATGGCTGGGGGTGGGGGATGGTTGGGTAGGGAGGGTGTAGGAGAGCCATGGACTAAAATTTATCTGCGCTGCCTTTTCTTGAAAAACTATTTTTTAAGTACACAGCTTTTTGACTTTGAACCACTTACAGGTAAAGCTGAATAAGCAGTCTGGTCTCCTTCCTCAATTGTATAGAAAGTGACAGTTTCTTCCAAGCCCCTGGGCATCTGTCCATTCTCTGGGGCAAAGCCATATTGGCATTCCTTATTCATATTATGCACCTGGCGTTGGCTTCGTCTAAAAGAACTGAGGTTGTTGGGCGAATGAAGAGAGGGAGAAAATGCTTAAAGATGAAAATAACTTGTTTTTAATCATTAAATCACAATTCAAACATCACCAAATTGGCTCATCTCTTAAATCTAACTTACCATTATCTCTGACTTTTATCACTTAACATTCACTTACCGAGATCTGTAAGAGAAGTTATCGTAGTTTTGGCAACATCTTTTACCTGGGCCAGGGTAGAAACCAACCTTAGGACCCATCATGTTGTGTCTGTTTATAAAGCGAGGTGAATCCCTGAGAATAAAGGAAAAACAAAAACTCTTTGCTCACTTAGTGCCTAAGTACTCAGTGTCTGTAAACATCACTGGAAAACTTTAAAAATACTTTCCAGAGACATGACGAAAAGAAAGAGCACTATTACCCCCAATATTAGCATCAGGCACGTTCATTATTAATGGATAGAGTGCCACATACCATCTGAGTATTCATACTGGAGAACATTTTATGTTCTAGTATCTCTTCACCTGCTTCATAGTTTTCTAGCTAAGACTCTTCCAAAAAAAATGAGCATTAGCGCTCCCTGGGCCTGCTGAATAATCCAAAAACCAAACCAGATTCACTGCCATCAAGTCAATGCTGACCTCCCCCACCCCATGGGTATCCGAGACTGTGTATCAGAGTAGAAAGCCCAGTCTTTCTCCCACGGGCTGCTGGTGGTTTCATACAAACCAGACAGATCACAGGCAGCATAAGCACTATACCGCCTGGGGGGAGGGGGGACTGAAAAGCAGCACCTATATTTCATCCTGGATTATGGGTGATATAGTACAGGTTTTAATTGCCAAGGGTGGTAGAGGTTGGTGAATGGTACTTAGTACATTTTTTCCTCTGGAAAGAGGCAGTAGGGCAATGGGTTCAAGCATGAGAACAATTGTGAGGCTGGTACAGGACCTGGCAGTGTTTCTTTCTGTTGGACATTGGGGGTAGTTATGAGTTGGAACTGACTTGCCAGCATCTAACAACACAAGCCAGAACCTACACACTAGACTGAGAATAACAAGGAGCCCTGGTGGAACTGTGAGTTAGATATTGTTGCTGCTAACAAAGCCACAGATTCAAATCCACCAGCAGCTCCACCGGAGAACGAGGCTATCAGCTCTCATAGAGATTTATAGCCTTAAAACCCTAAGGAGCCATTCCACTCTATTCAGTTATAGGGTTGCTGAGAGTAGGACTTGATGTCAATGGGGAGTTATGAGAATACAAATGTCAATATATTCATTAAATAAGAATTTTAGAATTTTACTATCGGTTCCATCCTCACTGTTCCCTTTAGGCAGAGGTTCAAATGGAAATATAAGCAATTAAAATAATAATTGATTTGACTGTGAGTCTGACCAGGAATAATTTCTAAAATCCAAATAGAAATGTGATCTGGAGAGTCAGTTAAGTCTTACCTGGGCATCCCATATCCTCGACCTTGTCTTTGAGATGAATGTTGAGGATGAAAATGTTCATTAGACATAAAATTGCCAGCTGTCTGTGAGTAGTGCAATGGAGAGTCATGCCCACAATGCATATTATGCGGCAACCTGGGTGGGAGAAGAGGTTCTCCCTTACTGTACGCCATAGCCATATAAACCTCTTTGCCTCTAACTTTCTTGAACATCTTCTTCCGTTGCTTCATGTCCATCTCTGACATAGCTTTCAGGCAGAAAAAGGAAAGTCATAAGTAAACTTCAAAACCCAAGTAAAAAGGTCCAATGCCACCCCCATGCCCCAAATTACCTCAAACTCTCATATGTTCCCTCTTAGGAACAAATATGAGGTGGCTGCAAAATAGCTCATGGAAAATGGAATTCAATAACATAAACTTCTTGAAGCCCCCTCATACGTGGAAGGTATTTTTGTCTTTTTTTAAAACAAGGATGTTACTTGATCTTCCATATGGAAGGGAAACACCAGTAGGTAAGAGTCATCAAATTTTCAGTCTAAAATCTTCTCCAGCTTTTACACAAAGCCCCCTAGAAAAGTGATTCTCAACAAGGTCAGATTCCCCACTCCACCCCTGGGGACATTTGGCATTTCTGGAGACATTTGGGGTTGTCATGATTGGGAGAGGGAGGGTGCTGTTTCTGACATCTAGTGAGTAGAGAATACAAAATTGCCAATAAATAAATTTAGAAAGAATTTTAGTTTATACTAGATTTCTCACAATGCACAAAATAGCTTTCCCAATAAAGAATTATCCAGCCCCAAATATCTATAGAAGAACCCTACTTATTTCCTACCTTTAAAAAGGTACTGAGTAAAAGGGACTACAAGAAGAGAAAAAGTAGTAGTAAGAACCCACAGTATACAAACCTATTTCTGGGACATAGCCCCCAGGCATTTTGGGGTAGCTTCTTCCTTTCCGACTGGACATAGCATTCCAGGATGGAACAGGTGTCACTTGAGTAACTGGCTTTAAGTTAGCCAGTGGGACAACATGCCTTAAAGTTAAAAGGTACCAACATGAAGTCTTTACAACACAGATTTAATTCTCCAGCACTATACATGCCCCGCCTAACCCTCTTGTTTCATTTAACAGTGTATTCCTTCTATGTGAATCTATTGGCAATAAGCTTTCTTGTTTAGGTTTTCTTTATTTCAGCTGAGAAAACCCACCTTTGTTTGTCTATTTTGTAGGGAGCTCTTTACTTACAGCTGTTTGCAGCACATAGCACTTTTCAGAAGAACTGCTTGGGTAGGCTTATTTGTTCACAAATGTTTGCTGCCCTCCTTGTAAGATAACTTTATTTTTGAAGCCTATTGGTATCAGGTTGGGCTGCATAATCCACTTCAGGCAATAAAATGTGAACACGTGCAGTAAGAACCAGTATGCGAGCTGTGGAGGAGTCCTGGTGGCATAGTAGTTTATGAGTCGGGCTGCTAACCATAAAGACAGCAGTTCACAGAACCAGCAGCTGGCTCTGAGGGACAAAGATGAGGCTTTCTAAGTCTCCTAAAGAGTTACAGCCTCAGAAACATGTAGGAGCAGTTCTACTCTGTCCTATAGGGTCGCTGTGAGCCTGAATCCGTTCAACAGCAATGAGTTTGTTTGTTTACATGGTCTCAAGCAAAACAAAACTCACTAGCATGAAGTCAATTCCAACTCTTATCCTGAACATTTAAAATAACTTTTTTGAGAACGAGGTGGAGATTTCTAGAGCAGATCATCAGTTTTTTTCAACAACTCATCAAACCTCCCAATGTATTGTTTTTACCATATTTTTTTGTAGTTTATGTAATATTTTTAATTAGTTTTGGCTAGTGCTTAGGGTTTTAAAACATTTTATACAATTGTACTCAAATGTGACACTTCAGCATATGCATACACAATCCAAGAACTGTCTTTTTAAAATTTACATCAGTACCAGATAGACTTGTCGTCCTCTTGTTACATTCAGGTAGTTCTCAGTTTGATATTACACATAGGCAGCAGGAACCAAAGATTTCAGTAAGTGAGCAAATGATTATAGTCTTACTTTTCAGCCAGTTCTTCAATAAAGACTGTTAATGAATTGTTCTCATTTCCAACTTCCTGAATGTGAGCATTGTAATACCTTCCATCAGATTCCAGGCGAACCTAGGAGCCGAGATAAGATAGAAATAAGAAATATATCTAGTCTCGAGTCTATTGGCCAATCTGGCTTCTGCCCAACAAAAGAACACCATTTTTCTTAACTGGAGTTCAATGTCACATTTTAAAGTAGTTGAGAACAACACTGCCATCTTGGTTCAACGGAGGTAGCATATCTGAAACTGTATTGCCTTAAATCTAGCCATAAAACGTTAAAATGCAAATTTCCTTATTTTCAAAAGGATGTTTTTCTAGCCTTTTCTAGCAAGTATTGCTGAACTCCCATTAATGACTAAAAACAATCTTGGGAAAAGAAATGACTGATTCTTTAAAGAAGAAACTCACCTGACACTTGTCTCCCAAATAGTATTGTTTTCCAGCATATTCCATGAAATCAGATTTTTGAAGTTCTATTAAAAAGAAATTAAGATTCAAGCTCAAATGAATTGGTTCGTTTCTTATTTTACATCATTTAACTTCTTAATTTACTTTTATCACAAGGCTCTTGATATTACTACTATTACATGCTACAATGGGGAGGGGGTCCACAAAAGGCCATTCTATTATATTCTCAGCAGATTCTTTCTACGGTCCACATAAGCAAAACTGGGTAAGAATTAAAAAGTTGAAACCTTTCAAGTAAGTGGTCAGAACATCCAGACCAAACCCCTGCTGTCAAGTCAAATCTCATAGCAATTCTAAAGAACTAAGAAGAACAGGGCCATGGGGCATCGAAGGCTGTACATTTTTGCAGTGCTGACATTCACCTCTTTCTCCCTCCGAAGGTTGGGCTTAAAGTTCCAACCTTCAATTAGCAACAAAGCATTTAACCACTGTGCCACCCAAGTGCCACAGGTCAAACAACAATAAGGTAAATCTTGAAAGTACTGCAGTTTCCTCAAAGCAACCTATTTGTTTAGACAAGTTAATGCTATATACAAGAGCTTAACTTCGTTCTTTGCTGCTAACTATATCTTGATTACTCTATATTCAAGGGATTGAATATGAACTATTAAGGCTATCTTTTAAGATAATACTTTGAAACCAACTCTGACTATCTATTTCTCTTATAAGGAGCGAGAGGGGGTGATTGTAGCATAGAGGTTTACTCCTTGGGCTGCAAACCAAAACGTGAGCAAGAAAGACAGGGATGTCTACTCCTGTAAAGAGTGACTGTCTTGGAAACTCACAGGGCAGTTCTACCATGTCCTATAGGGTCGCTATGAGTCAGTATAGACTCAATGGAGTGAGTTTGGTTTAGTTTTTATAAGGAGCGATAGGCAATTTTTTATGTTAGTGGTTGACAAGCATTTTCTGTAAATGGGCAGATAAATATTTTAGAGGCTTTGCGTGCCATAGGGAATCCTGTCATAATTATAATCTGTAAATATTCGAATGAAGCTATAATTAAGAACACTGCAATTTGAATTTCATATAATTTTCATGTCATGATATACTACCCTTTGACATAAGTATTGGAAAAACATGACTATTTAAAATGCAAGATCATTCCGAAATAGGTAATGGGACACATTTGGTCCCTGGGTCATAGTTTGTTCCCCAATGTACCTATTTGTTTCATTAAAGAAACCCAGCACTTTAAATTTAGAGAACAAAACTAGTAGTTTCTGATATTCTTGAAGTTATTTAAAAGTTATCTGCACACATTCTTTGCAAAATTGAAGTCCCAGGTAAATAACAAACTCTAAAAGACCCATTCCTACTTTCAAGCTGGTTTCCTCCCTGGAATCAACTCATGTAGAGAGAAAGATGGAAAGTACTAAGCTGTATACTTAAAAGGTCTCTTCTAAGACCCAATTTGCAAAGTTATTCTCACAGATATGTCAGGAGTCTAAAGTATCCTTTTGACATTTCATTACCTTTTCTGCTGTCCAGCCAAACATCAAATTCTACATTACGGTAGATTTCTGGGTCTAGAGCTTTGAGCACCTTATAGGGGAAAAGCATCTTTGATGAATTTTCTGAAGACTGAAACAAAAACCATGTCACAACTCCTTCACCCTTCTGAATCTCTCCTTCTGAAGAAGAAGGCCTTAAGGTTCTTTGCTTTTTAAACCATATACACATGCCTCCTTTTCCTCTTTTGTTCAAATGAGAAATTAATGGAACGATAAATTTTAGTATGTCTCTTCAAAATCAGAAGGCTAAAGAAGCAAAATGCTAACAATGCAAAATGTTGGAGGTTGCAGAAGAAACATAGTATCTGGAGCAGCCACCAACTCAGAACACATCAAATGCAATGCAAATGAAACCAGAGCAAGATTCATACAGGATTACTCAGCAAGTGAAGTGTTTTTATGGTATACAAGCAGCACAACTGCTCCGGTGTACTAAAGTCAGCTGAAAAAAAATCAGAAATATTCATTTTATTTCGGTCAAAAGTTACAATTTCCAAAGGGAACAACTATCATCTATCTTCAATTCCAAAAATGTTAGTACATTCAATATTCTTCTAAAACCAGCAATACTTGGGGCATTTTCTTAAAGACACTGCTGTCACAGTATTGACCCTAATTTGTTAGCCTCAAAGTGCTGCTGTGTCATCAAAATCATTTTGGACTCACAGTAATGCAAAGTGACAGAGTAGAATCCTATAGACTTTTTTTTTTTTTTTCCTATAGACTTTTTTAAGGTAGAATCTTCGGGGAGCACTCTGCCGCTTTTTTCTCCTGATGAGCCATGGTGGTTGGTGGGTTTGAACTGCTTAACTTTCAGTTATTTTCCAAAGTGCTTAATCATTTTGCCACCAAGGCTCTAGCCTCAAACTGAAAGTCTGTATATTGGCATAACTGCTTAAACAGATAACATGTCTCTGGCTTCTTCAACCTTTCTTTTCTTCAACTTTTATACAACAGGATTATTGCCTAGTTTCTTTGAATAGAACAGGGATAAGCATTTTTAACGGGAAAAACTGGTCTTAAATTCATTGTCTAACTTCAGAAACTGATTATAAGTTAAATATCAGGATTATAATATCACTTTAACTTTAAAACAAGAGCTACTGAAATTTCACAAGTACTTAAAAGTTAAATTTCAGGAGATTTGCAATTCCATTTAAATTACAATCAGGAGAAAATTAAGTACACATTTTACATTTTCAGACAGGTTAAGCCTTCCACAAAATAAAAAAGAACTGTCTCTCCTACCCCATAATTAGAATGGACAGACTTTAATTAGTTCATTAAGTTATGAAGCGGTAATCAAAGAGTATAAAAACTATTTTGTCTTGGAAAATTAACAAAACCTCAAACCTTTGCTTCTTCTGTTCCTTGACTGTGCTCCTCTGCTACATTTTCAGCATCACAGCAAGCAGCCCCCTCCTCTTCAGCCCTAATCAAGAAAGAGCAGAGCTTTATAGAAATGCAAGAGTTAAGAAACCTTATGTCTAATAACTATGCCGCCATCTAGTGGTAAAATGGCTCAGGTCTAAAATTCAGACTACTATTTTTCCATTCCAATATTGTGACTTATGTTTCCTTTTTGGATAAAGATTTACAGCCTCCGAAACCCAATAGAGTAGTTCTACTCTGTCTAACCGGATCACTTTGAGTGGGAATTAACTTCACGGCAGTGGAGTGGTTTGGTTTGGTTTTATAACTATGTGCTACACTAGAATTAGCACCTTATCTCCCAGGTTTTCTACCACTTTTGGTATCAGACTCTTGGAAATCCCTACAATGCCACATCCCTTGTACTCCACTTTTCTGAAGCTGCTTCTACTCAACAGAGTATTGCAAAAATAGTATATGCATGATTCCGTAAGAATTTAGTGTCCATTTTGCTGGTCTCCTTTTTGCTCCCCTTCATGACTGGAAAGAATCAAGCAGCCATGTTGAATCCCCACTAAGGTCAGGTGCAGCACATGGTTTCCAGGATTTGAGGGACAACACAAAGGAAGGTTTGAAGCTCAAGAGTCTTAGCTATGAGGAAGTGAATGCTGCCAACCAGCGTGTGCATGGTGAAGCGGGTCTTCCCCAGTCATACTTCCACATAAGACTCTAGTTTCAGCCAACAACCCCATTGTAAACTTGTCAAACACTGCTGAGACTGCATGAATTCCTTAAAAAAAGTGTGATAATAAACGTGTTTATTTTAAGTCACTAACTTTATGGTAATATGGTTATGTTATGTAGCACTAAATAACTAGTACACTAATTTTAAATTACTACTGCTATAGTTCCCAATAGCCTGAAGTCCTTATGACAAGTTATCAGTGAATAGAAATAATTTAATTTTCCGAAACTCGTAAACGCCACAGCCCCCAGCCAATAGAAATAATTTTTATCCTGATAAATGGATGCCAACTGTTACATCCCCAAATTAAGTTTAAAAACACTTGTACCAAAAAAAAGCCTTAATCATCTGAAAAACAAGACTATAAAAAACTGTAACACAAAAGGAAACACCCGAAGCGATCTGAATTCCCAGAAGAAAAAACAACTAAAAAAAACTAGGTATCCGGAAGAAATATAAGACAGCACCTACTTTATATCTCACACACTTTTTTTCAATAAATATGCTCAATGTTTGCAGTTTCCATGGAGATACACAAAGCATACATTGTGTATGTCAAAAGCAGATGCTCAAAAGTGCTTAACACTTGCCCTAGTCTAAGAGTCTTTCCCACTAGCTGGTTATGTGTGTCAAGTAAACACTCTGAACCTCAGTTATCATCCACAAAATGATGGTGTGCTAGTTTATATTTGTTGGGTTTTTTTTAACCTCTAAGTGTGGTTCAAGTCCTACCTATCACAGAATTCCTAAGTATATTTGACCTCAAATTTCAAGAAGGTGGGGACAAAGACCTGCCTTTTGATCAAGCTCCTTAAGCATTTTGCATACAACCGAGATTTGAGAATTACTGGATCAGAAGGTTCTAAGGTTTCTAGCAATACAAAAATTATTTTGATTTGAAATTAACATCCAAAGCCTGAGCCTCTCAGATTAAAATCTATTTTTGTTATAACTTCTCTTCCTCCATTAAAAAAAAACAAAACATCCAAAGGCAAACTCCCTGCCATAGAGTTAATTCCAACACATAGCGACCCTATAAGACAGAGGAGAACTGCTCATGAGGGCTTCTGAGGCTTTACATCTTTAAGGGAGCAGAAAGCCCTATCTTATGTCCTTAGTGCAGTTGGTGTGTTCGAACTGTTGAACTTGTGGTTAGTAGTGTGATTCGTAATCCACAATACAATCAGGGCTCCCAAAAAACCATACATACCTATGAGAGAGAGAGGGAGACAGAGAGAGGGGGAGAGAGAGAGAGTGTTTGTGTGTGTATCCATGTCATAAGCTTGCCAGTCCCCTTGCATTTTCAAATCATGATGCTGAGAAATGTGGAACATGGGCATTACATAGTTGACATCCCCTTCTCTTTATTACCTATTCTGTGTTGAACTCTTAAAGTTGGCATGGTCATCTTCACTTCCAGTCAGAGCATTATTTCTATTCTTCTTGGAACCAATTCGAAACAATTCCACTGCAGTTTTCAACTCTTCTTCATCCACATCAAACACATCTTTATAGAGTATTTCATATAACACAGCTAAAGGGAAAAATGGTCAATATTTTCTAACAGTTTGAAAATAACCATAACCCAGTATACCAAGTCCAGTAAGATATTAAGGTTTCATTTTATTTTTTTTAAAGATTTTTTTCTATTTCTTTTTTTTAAATCATTTTATTATGGGCTCATACAACTCTTATCACAATCCATACACACATCAATTGTGTAAAGCGCATTTGTACATTCATTGCCCTCATAATTCTCAAACCATTTCCTCTCCACTTAAACCCCCAGTATTAGGTCCTCATTTTTCCCCTCCCTCCCAGCTCCCCCCTCCCTCATGAGCCCTTGATAGTTTATAAATTGTTATTTTGCCATATATTGCCCTGTCTGACGTCTCCCTTCACCCACTTTTCTGTTGTCCGTCCCCCAGGGAGGAGGTCACTTATAGTTCCTTGTAATCGGTTCCCTCTTTCCTACCCACTCTCCCTCTACCCTTCCTGTTTCGCCACTCTCACCACTGGTCCTGTAGGGCTCATCCACCCTGGATTCCCTGCATTTTCAGTTCCTATTTGTACCAGTGTACATCCTCTGGTCTAGCCAGACTTGCAAGGTCGAATTCGAGTCAAGAACGTTATCATCTACTCATGGTGGCACCCTCGATTTAAAGACTGATAACAAAACCTCTCCATCACACCCAAGCATTTATAAAGCCTTCACATACCCTGACAGATTGCTGCGCTTGACTGATACTGTTTTGAGTACACGGAATCATAGTGGCCATTATTTGAATAGCAGAGCAGAATCTGAAGAAAAGGACATACAGAAAAGAGGTGGATGTTACACATCTTACGTCCTGTGCAAGCACTTGAATTTAGCTTGTTAAATAGAAACCGATACATTTAATGAGCTTACTATTGTTTGGTTGATTACACTGAGGAGCATATTCCTCTCCATTCTTAATGTCCACCTGATAGACCACTGCAAAGGCTTTTAGCCTTTTCTTATGCTAGTCTTCTCTTGCACCTGTTTAAGCTTTGGCATAATAATTTACTTAAGACACTCTTCAAAGTGCTTTTTTTTGGGGGGGGGGGGAGGCAACCAGGGACTGCCTGTACTTAAAAGTTCAGTATGAACAAACATGCTGACTTTATAAATCCTTACAGCAGACATACATATACTTTACACATACCTGTATAATCCTGTGCATGCAAATACCCAGCTGCTGATAAGCACTAGAGCTTTGTACACATGGTTGAGTGAGACTTACTCATTATATTCTCAAGGTTTGAAAGTTCTTAGTTTTAAATTCTAAAGGATGCCAAATGGGTGACACTTTTCCTTTAATTAGAATAATACCACCTCTGGAAGATGTATAAGACTCATTTAAAAGCAGACCTGAAAACTTGTAAAACCACGGCGGTGGGTATTATGAGTATTCATTACTATTTGAAAATCTCTCTGCATGAACCTACAGAGCAAAATAAAGAAAACAACTTGACCTGTGGAGTCAAAGATTTCCTAAGTAATGATTTAACTGCTTAAACTTTAACTCAAGCCATAGTGTTTCATTGTTAAAATACAAAAGTTAATGCTCCTCTTACTCAAAAAATTCTGATGAGGTCACACTACTGAGTAAAAAACTTGCAATGAGGACTTAGGGGCAAGTATATTGATGTCTATAATTTACTTTTAAGTATATCAATAATTAATATGGACTGATTACATGGATAGATGAATAGATATGTAGTAATAGAAAAATGTTAAAAAGATTCCAGGTAATAAGTATATATATATTTATGTTCATTTGTGAAATTCTTTTAATTTTTGTGCATGTTGGAAAATTTCACAAAATGTTAAGAAAGTTTCAATGGACTATTCTATACAATGAAATGCTAAATTGTTTGGCATGGTATAACACCTCACTCCTCGTATGACCCCAAGCTTATCTTTTTGGAGACCCTGGGTAGATCAAACCGTGAATGCATTCAGCTGCTCATTATAAGGTTGGAGGTTTGAGTCTACTCATAAACACCTTGGAAGAAAAGCCTAGTGATGTACTTCAAAAAACTCAGCCATTAAAAGTTTTCAAGTGCAATTCTAGTCTGACACAAATGAGGGGTCCCCAGGATCGAGAATTAATTTGATGGCAATAGGTAAAAAAACTATCTTTTCATCAGAACCCTGCCCCTACCCAACTAGTAGGCTCCCAAAGGGTCTCTTGCTTCCATACAGTGTTTGCTCTGAAGACAACCCTTCATACCTGCTGGGCACCTCTTCTGATATTTCATTTAAATGTCACTGCCACCAGGAAGTTTTCTAATCCCCATCAAGCTGAGTTTAGAACATTTTATTTTATGCTTCTACAAATTAAAACTTAAAAAGTTGCTGCAATTAACTAAACATCTATCTTTCACAGGCCTGGGAGGGCAAAGATTTTGTTCTATTCATTTTGTTATCCCCCAAACCAAATACACTGCTGGGTACACCATAGATGCCAGTATCATCAGTAAAATCATGTACCCCAATGTATACTTCTCTTCTATCTCTGGCATCCTCATCAATTTTCTTCATTCCTGCTGCTGCTGTTTCTTTAGTTCAGGTTTTTGCCTAGATTGCTGTAACAGCGTCCCACCAATTCTCCCAGTGCCTAGGGCCTTGTGTCTCCTTCATTAAGTGTTACTCAGTTTTAGTTTCATGGTGGGATACCAGACTTACAAAAGGTAATATTGTGCATTCAGCGTTTTTAAAACCTGAGGAGGCCTGGTAGCACAGTGGTTATGCATTGGACTTTGATGTTCAAAGTTAGCAGTTTGAAAGACGAGGCTTTCTACTCCAGGAAACAGTTAAACAGACTTAGAAACTCACAGGGGCAGTTTAACCCTGTCCTATAGGGTTACAATGAGTCCGTATTGACTCAATGGCAGTTGGGTTTTTGGTTAAATACTTTTTGGAAGAAAACTGTGTAAGCTACAGAGCAATTTGTTTAGTACGTGTCCTCTATCCAACAAAATAAGCTCCTTATTTTCCCAGCACTTTACTAGGCAGTAAATAGAACAGTATCTCTGTCTTGGGAAATTCTCATACTAATAGCAGAAAAAGACAAGTAAAATAAATACAATGTGTATAAACACTGTAACTACTTTCTTGGGAGCTGTTAGGGGAACACAAAAGAAGGAAATAACTCTGGAGAGTTGAAAATGTTTCACAGGAATTTACTTTTCCAAAACAAAGGAACAAAAGATAAAATCTGAAAGCCACAGGGATTCAGGAACACAATGTAGTTGAAGGATTTAGAAGCAATCAGGGCACTAAATGTCTATCTCACCAAGTTGAATCTTAATCTCTAGATAATCTCAGGATGGGGATATTTGTATTAGAGAGGAATGTACATGTATCTGCTTTCAAAAGTAGCTAAGAAACACTAGGGATGACTGGTGTGGAGGTAAGGAAAACGGTGATGGCAGAGAAGCTTGGCAGTTAAGACTGTGTGGGTTTTGTAGAATTAATTAGGTTAAAGAAAATATTTCCTAATACTGTGGTAAGCCATCATTCAAGTTCTTTTTAGTCGACAAGTACTCATCTTACCTTATCTTCATAACCATTACCCGTGACCGGAGTTGGAGGCTTTCCAGGAGAGCGGTAAAGAATGAAATCCCGACTAGATGGTAGAAAATAAAAATGAGAGACGAGACCATTTGGTGTACGTAAGCAATAGTTAAAAGAATAAGTTATTTGCACTTTTAAACTTCTTACCTTTTTCAATATAAAATAATCCAAAATGCTTAACATGAAAAACCAAATTAAGTCTGGGTAGACAGCTGGCTGGCCAAGAGATTGCTACTAATTTGTGAGTTGGGGGGGACTCTCCTTTAAAGTGAGGGTTAGCAAATATATGATAAAAGGCCAGGTAACAAGACCTCAATAGCAACTATTAAATTCTGCTTTTGTTGGGTAAAAACAGTCATGGATAATGTACGATATAAGCTAATAAGCATTACTATGTTCCAATAAAACTACTCACAGTGAAATTACAATTTCATTAATTTTCCCAGGTCAGTCTTCTTTTGAGTATATTACAATATGTAAAGCACACAAAACATTTGCTAACTCACCTTTTTTGTACGCACAATTCATTGACATAAAACAGTGTCTAGCATTTTATGCTGTTCATCCCTCAGCTGTTTCTAAAGTTTTCCAACCCCATTAACAAAAGTTCAGTGCCCCTTAGGCAAGGACTCCCTCTCTCCCCCTTTCTTTCACCACCACTAATCACGAAAAAGTTTGGTCGCTATACATTTGATTATTTGAAATATTTCAATTATTTTAACATTTAAAATAATCACTCTTAGCTTGAACACTATATCAAACCTGGAGGCAAAAGTATTTGGAAACACACACCTGGCTTAAAAGCATCAAATGATTGCTCTTCGTGCAGAAATGAGGCGGCTACAAAACACCAACTTCAGCACGTCCCCGGACGGAGCATGTGAATCAATAAGCAAAACCCACTACCTCTCATCTACCTTATAGAGCTAGTTTGCAAAACCTTATATCTAGAATGTCACTTTTGCAGTTTTAATGGCCAAAACATAACTCACAAAGCAATAAACTAGCGTTTAACCTTTTTCCCTATTATTGCTCCCCACTTCACCCCAAGGAGTTGTTTAAGGTGCTCTTGTGGCACTGTCATTTAGGTGTTGGTTTTGCTAACTACAAGGTCGACGATTCAAGGTCACCATCTACTCCTTGGGGAAAAAAAAGATGAGGCTATAAAGCCTCAAAAACCCCCTACCAGGTTGCTATCAGGCGACAGTGACTCTACCACAGGTAGGCCAGATGGTGCAGAGGGTTAGCATTGGGCTGCTCAGTGGCTTTGATTCCACGGACTGCTCCACAGGAGAAAGGTCAGGCAATCTGCTTCTGTAAAGGTGACATCCCCAGTAACCCTGGGGAGCAATTTGACTGGCCTACACAGGGTTACTATGAGTGGATTTGGTTTGGTGAAGGGGCCCTTTTGATTCTATTTTGAACTTTTTATTTTGCCTTGAGAAGGATTACAGAGCAGTTTTCCATTCAACAATTCATACATTTTTTTTGTTTCATCTCATGCATGGCAATTCCCACGTCCCCTCTCTCCTTCCTCATTCCATTCCTCTAGATTCCTTCTGAACTTGGTTTCAACTGTTAAGCCTCTGAAGACTTTTCTCAGTCCCCTCATGCAATTTTAATCCCAGATACAGCACCTGTTTGTTTTGGTGCTCTTTGAAAGATAACCAACTATTGTAATATGTAAGATCTTTTCTCCCTCTACCCAAGAACAGTTGGTAGCAATATTGTACCCATTTAGAAACAAAAAGACATCTAGGTAAAGAGACAAGAATCCTCTTAAAAGATAAATATTCTAAGTTGCCACAGAAATAATACCAGCAAAGTAAAAATCCTTTATTCTTCCATCCAAATAGATACAAAAATGAAGAGAGTTGTTGTACTTCTCCATTCCAAAAGGTCACTAAACTGACTTTGCTTAGAACACTTCAATTCGACCTATCATTAAATCACGTCTCAAATTCCCCCATTCCCCAAGTGACTCGAATGGAAACATTATATACACACACTTGTAAAAGAAAAGGAGATACAACTTACTTATAAATAAGAGAAAGAGCTCTTATTTCCAGTTGGCCAGCACTTTCCTAAATATAAATAGTGGATAAAATTTTTTAAAACTTCTGTAGCTAGGAGTTAGAAATTTCTACAAGTTCAACTTAAAAAAGCAACTGCTCAGCGCTATTTTGAGTAAAGAATGTGTAGAATACATTATAACTTGCTTGGGATCCTGCCATAGCTATTCATTAAACTTAAATTTACACTTTAACGAAAATGATGTTAATTCCTTCTTAGTAAGCCATTAAGTAATAAGGACAGTTAATATGAGCTATTTAAAAGTCACAACAAAAATGTAACTAGTCTGAGAAAGCAAAGATAGAACAGTACATTTGAAACCTAGAGCTACAAATTAATTTTATCACATAAAAATTACTTTTAAATAAAATATGTGTTTGTGGAACCTCCTCTCATGTAAAGAAAGGGTAACTAAAACCCAGGAAATTATTTTATAAACAAATAACTGGAACATCTCGGTAACTTGTCCCCACTCCCATCCCCTTTCCCTATTAAAGTAACATGACAGAGGCTTATCTTGTTCCCAAACAGAAATGTTTGTAATGCCTGCTGTTCTTTCCTGATATCTATGGATAAGACTGTTAAGAAACAATTCTCAATATTCACACAAAACAAAAGGTCAACTGCTAGCCCATAAACCTTTTTTAGTGCTATGAATTGAACACAGATGGCTACTTAAGACTTTATGTTGGCTCTTGTTATAGTGACCGAGCCCAGTGAATATTTGGGTAACTACTCCAAATACTATTAAAAAAATTATTTCATCTTACCTTAGGATCTCCCAGTCGTTTCAGGTATTTCTCATAAGATCCCTCCACATACTTAAAAAAATAAAACAAACTTTGCTTAACCAAATACATAGCATTACTAAATTCTGCAGTATTATCCTTCAACTTTTTTGCCCCCTCAAAAGTATGACATAAAACCTCTATATTGCACAGCACCTCAAAATGTGGACAGACACAAAAGTTACATGCAGGGATACACTGGGCAATAAAAGCCTATTAGGGATTGGTCCTGGTTTAGCCACAAACCAGGATATTGCAAAGAATATGGACTTTTGGGTTTCTTTTGAAATGACAATTTTCAAAAATCAAGTAAACTCAACCAATTATAATCTTAAATTTGAGAGGAGACCTGCATGTATAAAATTAAGCTAAGGAACTTTAATAAGAAGTTCATTAGTTTGAAAATAATCCAGGAGAAAAAACTTTTGAGGGTGATGGAAAGTTTCTGTGTTGGGAGTGGTTGTGGTTACTCTCAGGGCTCAGACTGGGTCATTTCAGGTGCATCCCTTCCCCCACAGATAATTTGCATTTCCTCCCCAGGAAGATGGAATCAACAGCTAGAGTGCAACATGATCCCCCAGGTGTGGTAAAGGACCAATGAACTTCTAGAGTAATGTTTTAAAGCAGGGGTCCTCAAACTTTTTAAACAGGGTGCCAATTCACTGTCCCTCAGACCCGTTGTAGGACCAGACTATAGGTTTTTTAAAAACTATGAACAAATTCCTATGCACACTGCACATATCTTATTTTGAAGTAAAAAACAAATGGGGCAATAACACCCGACAGGCCGGATAAATTTCCTGGGGGGGGGGGGCCGGCAGCATGTGGCCCACAGGCCGCAGTTTGAGGACGCCTGTTTTAAAGTCAAGGAATTTTCATATAGTTTTGAAATTCACTACTACCTGTTGAGAAAATGGCACTGGATAGACTAGAATTTGTTTTAAATAAATAAATAAAAGATATATATATGCCAGGTGAAAGGGCACAAGACAAATTAAAAACCAACGAAACTCATTGCCATCGAGTCAATGCAGACTCGTAGCGACCCTATAGAGGGCAGGGTAGAACTGCCCCTGTGGGTTTCCAAGATTGTAACTTTTTACGGGACTACAAGGCCCCTTCTTTCTCCTGAGGAACGGCTGGTGGTTTCACACTATAGACCTTGCAGGTCGCGGCCCAGCATGTAACCACTATGCCACCAGGGCTCCTCAAATCAAATTGGAGTTTGAAAAAAACCTTCAGCTTTGTTAAGAAGTCAATTAATAATTGAGCATGCAAAGATATCCTCAAGAAATTGTTTTACTTAAAGTCAATCCTTTGTGGCAGAACTCTAATGACCACAATTTATCCCTTAAGACTAGTAATTGTTCCCTGACTAGTATTAAGTTTCACAAGCTTCCTCCAAATGACTGATGGAAGTTTACTCTGCACAGGATTAAGCACGAAAATAGAGAGGGTTTCCAATTAGATGTTTTCAGATGTGTATTTTAAAACACAACCCAACCTTTCCCATTTCATGATTATAACCAACTGTTAAAGAAGACAGAATGAAAACACAAAACACTAGACAAACAAAAAGTTCAGGTTGTGTATGTTGATGAAAAGGGAGTTGTGAGAAAGACACAAGTTTTCTTAATTTTTAATCAGAGTCTAGAATTATGCTAGCTAGGGGTGGGGAGCTGGATGGAAATTAAGTATTTGCAGTAGAAAAACTGCAGGATGAAATCTGTCATATGTAAATGCTCATTCATTTCCTACCTGCTACACATCCTCTACTGACAACTCTCCTCTGGGTGTGTATGCTACTTACAGACTCGAAAGCTTGTTGATTTTTCTTCATATATGTGACACAAGCCTTCCTGACTTCCAGATGATGGACCTGGCTGTAAAACAACTAAAAATAAAAGACCACTTCACTGTCAACAGGCATTGGAAATAGAAAGAAGCGTCTAAATTAAGACAATGAACCAAACACTAAAATCCCTCTTATTCAGAACATTAAGTAGCAAATTTAGAAGTAGTAGTTGCTTACTTATAAGATCAAATGACAGTTCAACATTTTCTTTAACCCCATTTTCACATTGCTCTTGCATTCCAAACTAGCATTTTTAAAAACAAAGATAGCAAAAATGGCAATACGAGTATTTAAACTAATCAGCAAAGATATGCAACACGTTAAAATAAGGGCCACTCAAGCTCCTTCCAGGGCCTGGTAAGTCTGGGTGTTCTCATGGTAAGAGAAAAGGGCATTTGGCTTCTTTATGTATTAGTTGAGAAACCTTTTAGTGGATTATAGGTTTTTTTCACTAAGGGATTATTCCAATATCTAGCTCTGAGAACTCCAAATGGGGAAGATGTGTTTGTTTTCCTTTTACCTGCTCCGAAATAGCCCGAAAGAGGCAAGAGGCATCCTTGGCAGTCATCTTTCGAAACAGCCCTAAACTGCCTAAATATTCATCCATTGATGCCTCATTCAGAGATTTCTGGCTGCCGTACTTTTTCCAGGCTTTTTGCATAGTGCAGGGGGTAGGGTGGGGTTGAGAAAGGAACAGGAAGAAGTATAGCAAGCAGGGGAGAGTGGGAAAGCAGGGTGCAGGTAGGAATGGGGAGCAGTAACTTGAGCTTGCTTATGCAGGTAATCCGGGAAGCAGCATAAAGTAGGTAGGAGATGGCAGTTGGAGTCAGCACCGCAGCATCTTGGCAGGTCTCAGGAGCAGAAACACAGGACTGGCTTGCCCAGGTCAGGGGGAACCCTGTGAAAAGAAGAAAAGCGGATATTCCTAGGGGTAGGAGGGTGTGCTGCAGGCAGCACAAGGAGGGTCACGCTACCTTGTTAAGGAAGGGTAGGACTATGGCCAGTTTACAGCATAAAACAGCACACCTGATACACAAGGGCCATTGAAGTGATTACAATATGAAACAAGTGTGGATGCAGCAGCTAGGCCTCGTGTACATTGAGATCTCAGTACAAATTGCTTGCTCCCTTCATAGTCTGGGGGAGAGGGAAGGGGAGAGAAATGGCAACTAAGTTACTAAGGACCTTTTGTGTTTTTAAGGACAGAGGTCAGCGTAATCGGCCAATGTCAAAGCAATTGTCTAGTTATTTCTGGTGTGAGGTAAAGTAAACTTACATAGTTCTCCCTGATGACGTGCACAAAGATGAAATCTATTGTTATGAAACCTTGTAAAACATGAACCAAAAAGGGAAATGCAAAAGGCGCTCCTTCAAACAAAGAAAATGAAAAATTTAAGTGAAGCAACATGTAAAGAGTATCTTGGCCACAAACTTTTTAAATGGGCAACATTTAAAATGCTTGTGGCACAATGTAACAGGCACTGGACACCAGAAGTATGTATCAATGTCTTGTTAGGGTACTTCTCCATGAAAACTCTAAATTATGAGAAATTCAAAGCAAAATATGGCAGGTGCTTTTAAAAATCTACTCATAAACAGGGGCCACTTCTATTGCTCGATGCCACTGTGAAGTGGCTCCTTATTTGTTATTTAAATGCCCCAATCCGTTCCCGTTGTTGCTTTTGTGGATGTGCTAGAACAAATGTAAGGTGGTTTCAAAATCATTTTTCTAGTATCCATGGATCCAGTAGTAATCATTAATGCCTTCTATGAGAAAAGCTTCACTAAGCAATTTTTAAATTAATGAATAAATAAAAGTTAGTATTTATTGGTAGAAAAAAATCAATAAAATCTTGATATCCTTTGCTGCCAATTTCCAGATCCTTTAACTTAGCTCATGGTTAACGAAAGGGTAAGACTGCGTAGGTGACTTAAACATGGGATAGGAAGAGGGCTCCTACATTTCTTTAAGGCCAAAAAATAACTGTAAATGTTACAATGAAAAGATTAATTTATTTCTGATTTGTTTTACTTGCAGAGACATAAAATACAAAATTTTCAAACTACATTTTAAATGAAAAAATAAGTATATAAAGTTTTAATTAATACTAAACCAAATACTTCATTTTGAGTTGGAAAGGCAAATTGGGGACGAGATCATCAGAAAAGCCATAGGCATGAGTTGAAAAGAGGCAAACAAGTTAAAGCAGTTAACATGAAAAGGAAATTTTAACACCGAGAGAAAAGACATAGCAATAGACCCACAAGAATATAGTTTATTGATTTTGACAAAGGTGCTGGAGCAATTGAACATTCATTTTTTAAAATGAAAAAGAAAGATCTTCAACCTATAACTCACATGCTGTATAATCTCTCTCTCTCTCTCTCTCATTGTCATCAAGTTAATCCACTCTCTCAACAACCTGACAGGGTAGCTTTCCAAGACTGATGCACTTCACTGGAAGTGAAAGCCTTGTCTTTCTCCCGTGGAGCTGGTGGTTTTTAACTGCTGGCCTGTGTTAGCAGCCCAACTCATAACTGCTACACCAGCAGGGCACTTACCCTATATAATAAAACAATGAACTAAAAAATGGATCATGGACGTAAATGTAAAACAAAGCTGTAACATTTTTAGGTGGAAAAAACCAAAAACCTACGGTTAAATCTTCAAGACTTTGAAGAAAAATACTGATAAATTAGACTCCATCAAAATAAAAAACCTTTGATTTTCAAAATATAGTTTAAAGAATGAAAACACAACCCAAGGCGAGGTGAAAACATTTATACATCACATATTTGACAAAAAAAGTCCAAAATACGCAATGAAACCTCAAAATGCTATAAGGGCCTAGTTAAAAACTTACAAAGTTGAACATCACAAAACATAAGCACACAGGGATGTTCAACATCATTCCAAACAAAACCAAGTTCACTGCCATCGCGTTGATTCCATCTCAGAGGAACCCTCTATCATTATTAGTGTTAGGAAAACAAACTTCACTGAGACCACATATGAAATACTACTCCATACCCACTAGAGCAGCTATAATTTTAAAATACAGATAATAACCAGTGTGGAGAAACTGAAACACTCATACATTGCTGATGGGATTATAAAATGGTACAATAATTTTTTATACGACCTTGGCAGTTTTTATGACAAAAGGAAAAAACATATTTTCAGCCATTACCATAAAGTCAATTCCAACTTATGGTGGTTACCTCTATGTCTTAAAAAATTAAGCATAACCTTAACATAACCCAAATTCTAAACCCAAACTCACTGTTATAGAGTTGATTCCAACTCATAGCAACCCGATAGGACAGTGCAGATCTGTCCCTCTGCGTTGCTGAGGTTATAAATCTTTGTACGAGCAGAAAGCCTTATTTTTCACCCAGAAGACTGGCTGATGGGTTTAAGTGCAGACCTCATAACTAGAAGCCCAATGTAAATCCAACCCACTTCATCACCAGAGCTCCAAATTGACCAGGACTCAGCAATTATATTCCTAGGTGTCCTTTTAAGAAAAAATAAATAATGCATATACACAGAGACTTGTACAAGAACAGTAATAGCAGACTGAAGTAAAAAATAGAGACAACTGAAATGTATGCATTTATTTTTAAAATGTAGTTACTATTGTTGAAATGAAACATTATTATAGAATGGACTACTAATCACTAGTTGAAAGAAATGGCTACATTTATGCAATATGGATAAACCTCAAAATCTTCATTAATAAAAGAAACCAGAGGCAATCGACCACATCTTCTATGATTCCATTTATATGAAATACACCAAACATGCAAACCTATAAAAGAAAAGATAGTTGTCTGAAGCAGGGCTTGATATCTATTGACTACAAACAGATACACAAAGGATCCTTTTGATGTGATTAAAGCATTCTAAAACTGGATGGTGGTGATATTTGGGCATTTATAAGTATTATTTCTTAGTTTTATTACTAAAAATATTTACTAAATATTGAGTTGTTAAAAAGTTGGAATTCACATACCACACATTATCACACATTTAAGGTATATAATTTAGTGGCACTTAGTATTTTCTATTGTGCAAAAATCACCAGTCATTTTTAGTACATTACTAAACCCCACACCTACCCACTAAATCCCTTACACCTTCCTTTAGTCCTAGGCAAATGCTGATGTACCTTCTAGCTTTATAAATTTGCCTAGACATTTCATACAATGGGATCATATAACGTGGTCCTTTTATGATTAACGTGTTAAACTTAACATGGGTTTATAAACTTAAAATTTTCAAGATTCATCCATTTTGTAGCACATATCAGTATTCTAATTCTTGTACAGTTAAACCACATTATTTACCCATTCTGCAGTTGATAGCTTTTTTTTCTGTCTTAGCACAAAAATAATGCTAAGAACATTCATATATAAGTTTTTGTATGTATTTTCAATTATCTTGGACATATACTTATGGAAGTGGAATTGCTAACTCGTTAAGGTCAACTACTAGATGTTTTACCAAACAAAATAGCCACACCATTTTACATTTTCAAAAGCAATATATCTAATATCTTCACATCCTTGTCAACACTTGCTATTAATCAACTAGCTTTCTCAGAATCCATTAAGGGTGGCAATTCAAACTCAGCTGTGGTTCTGCAGGAGAAAGATGATTGGAGATCTGGTCCTATAGATTATACACTAGGAATCCCTGTGGGCCCTGCCCTAAAGGGTCTCTGAGTTGGAATCAACTACATGGCACACAACAGGAGCCATCCTAGTAGGTGTGATGTAGCATGTCATTCTTTAAAATTTGTACTTCCCCAAGAGCTAATTATGTTGAACATCTTTTCATGCGGCCTCTTGGAGATACGTCTACTCAGATCCAGTTCCCATTTTTAAATGGGGTGTCTTACTATGGAGGAATTTACAGGAATGTCAAGTAAAACCACATGAGGGAAGAGAGATACCATTGCTTACATCTAAGAATGACTAAAATTTTAAAAAGTAAAAACTAGTTAATGCCAAGTGCTAGCAAACACATTATTTAAGAGAGTGGAAAATGTCAGCCACTCTGAAAAGCAAGTTTAATAGTTTCTTATAAAGTTACCATATGACCTAGAAGCCTACTCAAGATGAAAATTTACCTTCACACAAATCCCATATATGTCTACAGCACCTTTATTCATAATGATCTCCCAAAACAGAGTATTCTTCAAAGGATAATGAACAAACTATGGTGCCTCCATGAGTACAATATTCAGCGATTACAAATGATTAACTATTGATCCACATACAGAAAAGTAAAAATCTCAAATGCCTCATTCTAAATGAAGCAAATTCAAAAGACTATATACTCTATGAACGCAATTATATGATATTCTAGAGAAGGAAAAACAGATCCGTTGTTAGGTTGGTCTTAAAGGGTTGGGTTTACTACAAAAGGATCACTGGAGGATTTCATGGAGTGATGAAACTGTTCTGAGTCTTGATTTTGGTTGTGATTTCATGACCAAGTATTTATCAAAACTTATAGGTGGCGTAGTGGTTACTTGGGATCCACAAAATCAGCAGGTTGAAATCACCAGTCACTCTGAGGTAGTAAGATGGAGCGTTCTACTCCTATAAACAGTTAAACTGAAACTCACAGGGCTAGTTCTAGCCTGTCCTATAAGGTCGCTATGAGTCAGCATTGACTTGATGCAGTGATTTTGAGGTTTTGTTTTTGGTATCGGACTTTTACAAGAAAAAAACATGAACTTTGCTGTGTGAAATATATACACATATATACATATATGAAATTTGGAGGCTCAATCCAGGAAAACAAACTATAATCATGCAGAGGCCTAAAAAGGGGGGAAATACAATTTTGATAATCATGTAACAAAAATTCTAACATGCAATATAATG